CTATCTTATGACTACCTACTAATAAAACCGCCAATTAAAATATAGTGAATGAACATTAAAATGTTGGCACTGCATTTTATTTTAAAACCAAAGGCCAGGGAATTTTTCTGACAACTATAAATTTTCCAAAATGGCGGGCTATCTGTGAAACGTCATGACCACGTAACGCGAACGTATATTTATTTCATGGAGTAGTTATGAATATAAAACAAATATGAAAATGACGAGATTATCAATCATGCAGCTTTTTGGAGTTTTGTTCAAAATCAAATCGTGTTACTCGGCTTCTTGTGTCTAGGACAAATACGAAATTAAATTACATCGTAAACTCAATTATTTCGTGAAAGTTTAAATTATTTATTTATATAAAAGCCTCATTGCCCGAGTGGTCGCAAGTGCAACTGTCGAGCAAGGGGTATTGGGATCAATTCCCCGGTTCGGGCAAAGTATTACTGGCTTTTTAAAAATCTCAGTAGTAGCACGGAATTTTATTTTTGACTGCACGGTTGGTGCGGTGGCTGGGCAACGTGTCGCGGGTTCGATTCCCGCACGGAACAACACTTTGTGCGATCCACAAAATTGTTGTTTCTGGTCTGGGTGTCATTGTGTATGTGAACTTGTATGTTTGTAAACGCACCCACGATACAGGAGATAATCCTTGTGTGGGGCAACGTTTTAAAAAAAAAATTGAATTGTGCCCAGTATATGACAATAGGCTCACCCCCTATTACATAGGACTCATAACATAAATAGTGAAAAGTGGGTGTTACATTGTACAGTGGCATTAAGTGCTGTAATGTGCACCTCTGCCCAACCCCTTCGGGGATGAAGGCGTGATATTATGTTATGTTATGTTTATAAAATAATTAATATCCAGTCTGAAAGAAAGATCTTTCATTTTTACTACATAGTATAAAACAAAGTCACTATCCGCCGTCTGTCTGTCTCTATGTACGCTTAGATCTTTAAAACTACGCAACGGATTTTGATGTGATTTGTTTTACTATATAGAGTGATTCTTAAGGAAGGTGTATATGTATAATATATGCATATTGCACCCGTGCGAAGCCGGGCCGGGTCGCTAGTAATAATGTAATAATATTAATGTTTATTAACCATAATTTTTACAGTAACTCTTATATATAAAATTAATCGTTACAACATCATATAAAAAGTGAGTACTTAAGATAGACTAGTATGTCATAAGTAACAGTTATAGAGTAGATGTAATAGGGGGAGCCCTTATTTTGCATTAAACTCATAATATATCTGGACAAAAAGCTACACATATATTTGTGGGAGAGCCATGCTTCGGCAGGAATGGACCGGCTCGACCGGGGTGATACAACGGCTGAGCAGAAAACCGTAGTGAAACAAGGCTTGCGTTGTATTTCGTCGTGTGAGTGAGGTTACCGGAGGCCCAAAGGAGGTCCCTAGTCTCTCGAATCCCCGAATACTCCACAATCCTCAAATTCCCAATTGCCAAAAGGCTGGTAACGCTCTTGTAACGCCTCTGGTGTTCCAGGTGTCCATAGACGACGCCGATTGCTTACCATCAGGTGATCCGTCTGCTCGTTTACCGGCTTATGGCATAAAAAAAACATCCTGAGGTCACATTATAGATGGGTGACCACTAAGGTCACTAACGACTATTATTATTAAACATCGCGGTCATTGACCTCCAAATCAGCTGTGAGTAGTTTAAACTGTCAAACACATTGAGGACACCGGTGACCGCAACCTATTGTTCTTTAGTTGTGTCTATAATGACGGTACTCGACGAGTTAATTGATAGAGGTCAAACTATTGTTAGACTGCACTCTACTGTTGGTGCAATGACTGGGGCATACGGCACCGATGCTGTTTATCACAGGTTCTAACTCAAGCTCCTAATCCCCAAAAGGCCGGCAACGCACTTGTAACGCCTCTGGTGTTCCAGGTGTCCATGGGCGACGCTGATTGCTTACCATCAGATGATCCGTCGGCTCGTTCACCGGCTTATGCAGATGACAATTTATAGTGTGAGGGCAACGTTTAAAAAAATAAATAATTATAAAATATATAACACACATTTTATCTGTAATTTAATTATACTGATCTTAATTTATTACCAAGCAATTTAGAAAAAATAAATTCTATAATGTAACTATTTTGCCGCGACACGGAAATCGAACCCGAACACCTTAATGACCAGTCGCGCTTGTTATCACTCAGACATCGGGACAATCGAGATATGAGTAAAGTTACAATAACTGAATATGTACTTTAATAATAAATACTAAAAATGAAATGAACACCCATCAAAAACCCGACCTTAGAAAGCACGGCAAGCACTTAACCATAAGCCACTTTAACCACTTACAAAACACACGACTCGAGAATCGAACTTACACTACTGCTTGCCTACCCTTCATTCAAACAACTTACTTCCAAATCCTGTACGTCTATCTCTTTCTAGCTCTTACAAAATTCACTTATGTTGTCTCTTTCTAATGTCCATGTGTGAGTGACGCCCTTATGTACGTACACGGATTGTGTGAAAGCGGTGCGTCTGTGTGTGTGATACAGGTAGCCAGTGCAGTGTTGACGCGGGGAAAAATTACCCAATTTTGTGGGTAATTTTTGGTGTTGATTAGAGCTTAATTTTTTTTTGTTCTTAGATTGTTATTCGTATGATAGTTTGTAGTTTGTACTGCTAATTTATGGGGTTGATGTTTAGTAATTTTATTATAATTAAAAAAATTACTTGGTATAACTCATTATTAAAATGAAAAATAAATGGAAATAGTTATATTATTATAAAATTATGGTACCTGCATTGGATACAATTAATGATTTTTATAAATAATAAATCACATTTACTTAACAATTCATATATTAAATAAAGGCTTGGTTTGTTGACTTAGGGATATTTTTAACGTGTCTATTTTTTTTTTCTAGGTTTCACATTTTCATAATAATACTAATCTATGCTACATAATTAAATTATAGTGTATTTTTACTATACCAATTTTGACTTGTTTGACAAATAAACATTTCTACATCAAAACACTGTCAAGAACTCAAGAAGGCACCTCCATACCTATACCTACAATAAATATACCTAAAAACATAACACCATAAACGACCCACCAGTTACAAACAAAAAAATTCTCCCCATGAAACCCACTATACATAAAAAAGGAGCTTTAGATTTCTAAATATGCAACACCGAACTACCACGGACTCGGAGCCAGTCTCTTTGCACCCTCCGTACGGGAACGACGCGAGTGTTTATAAAAAAACCCTGTGTATTTTGTGTGTATCATACATTTGTTCTGTGTATTGTGTACTGTGTAAACCAAAGTGTAAAAATTGTTTGCCGTTTCCACCGAAAGGTAGGTCGAGATATCAAAATAATTCACCGAAACACAAAAAACATTATAAGTAATTAGATATTGTAGGTATCGAAATTGTTTTCGAGAATTCCGTGTCGATATTTGTTTGTTAATATTTTGTTTTTGTTTTTGACGTGTCTATGTATATTCTGTGTATTTCAATACACGTTATTGTGTAACAAGAATCATTTAAAACATGTTTTGATTTGGACGACGCACGCTGGCTCTGTCAAATACCTACTTCAAGAGTTCAATAATTGTAATTGTGAACGATTCAAGAATTCTTTCTACTTGCTTGGAAGCCGTTCATAAAGCATAACGCAGTAATCTTACTATAATATTAGGTATATGTGAATGTTTGTGAGTTCCTGAGTACCTATGTTTGTTATTCATTAACGCCAAAACGGCTGAAGATATAGAGTTGAAATTTGGCACAGAGGTAGGTTATAGCATGGAATTTATCCTTACTATAATATTATAAATCGGAAAGTGAATTTGGTACACGTAACCATTCTGGCCCTGCTACTTGTTTCAAGTCGTCTTCCCATCGTTTATGCTGTCTTCCTCTACTTCTCCTGCTGTCTCTAGGGTTTTTTTAAGGAGGGAACATCGTCGAAATTCTTCTCCCGGCTAGGTGAGGCGGGAGGGAGTGTTACTCTTACTGACTAAAAACCACCTCGTTCCTACTCCTGCACTTCGAGCCGGAGCCCCGGTTACCCGTTAAGTCCTCTGCGGCTCTGTCTCTGGTACCATTCCGTTATTTTTCTAATCCATATTATATGGTAGGTTATATATGACTTAGATAAAAAAAATATAATATTTAAGCCATTATTTGACTTGAACAACAATTATAAACTTTATAACTTACTAGATTCTACCAGCGGCCTCGGTTCTCGTCGGATAAAAAGATAGTCTATGTGTTATTCCAGACCATAATCTATCCCTGTTTCAAATTTCATCACGATCCCTTCAGCCGTTTTGACGTGATTGAGTCACAAACACGCACAAACTTCGCATTTATAATATCAGTAAGATGTATGTATAGACATTCTTTAGATAGCTATATTAATGAGAAATCTTAAATTTTATAAAGTTACTAGCTACTTCCGCGCGGTTTCACACGCTCTGCTCAGCTCCTATTGGTCGTAGCGTGATGTTTTATAGCCTATAGCCATCCTCGATAAATGCGCTATCCAACACAAAAATAATTATTCTAATCCGACTTGTAGTTACGGAGATTAGCGCGTTCAAACAAACTACCAAACTCTTTCGCTTTATATAATAGTATAAGATTACGTGTCACTCATAACATATAACTTTTCAAAAGTGACTATAAGTACTATTTGCATAGAAAAATGTGCACATTTGCCCTTTTCACTCTCGCGGGCTAAAATAGCGTGACATTATAATAAGACTTTTTAAGTGTGGGAGAGCCATACTTCGGCACGAATGGGCCGGCTCGACCGGAGTGATACCACGGCCGAGCAGAAAACCAACGTGAAGCAACGCTTGCGTTGTGTTTCGTCGTGTGAGTGAGGTTACCGGAGGCCCAATTACCCTCCCCTTCCCCAATCTCCCCAATCCCTGAATCCCTTACAATCCTCAAATGTTTAATCCCCAAAAGGCCGGTAACGTACTTGTACTGCCTCTGGTGTTCCAGCTGTCCATGGACGACGCCGATTGCTTACCATCAGGTGATCCGTCTGCTCGTTTACTGGCTTATGCCATTAAAAAAAGACTATCCCCATTCTTTTGGAAAAACAAAATCACACCGTTTAAACCATTATAAAAATAAAAAACTGAGTTTTTTCCACAAAAACACCGCAAAATCGTAAGCCGTTTTTGCTTAAACTGCAGCTGTTATTAAAACAATACAAATTGATTCGAATGGATGGCGACGGCAGCCAGTTTTGTTTAGAAGTCTACTAACGACAAATTCGATGCCATTGTTAGAGACTGGTAAATTATAAAAAAATTTTAAGCTGTTGAGGGTATTGTTACTGCAAATTATGTTTACCTTTAAACTGTCAAACACCGCGAGGTCACCGGTGACCGCAACCTATTGCTCTTTAAACTGTCAAACACCAAGCGGTCACCGGTGACCGCAACCTATTGTTCTTTAAACTGTCAAACACCGCGATGGCACCGGTGACCGCAACCTATTGTTCTTTAATTGTGTCTATAATAACGGTACTCAATAGGTTAAACAATATTAAACAACCTTCCAATATCAGGATGGCGCCCAGTCGTTTGTCATTCAAGCGGAAGGTTCGGGAGGTACTTTTGAAGAGATTGGCAGTCATTACTCGTAGGTACTATTAATATACTATGTATAATTATAATACGTCTTTTTTTAAGGGGGGAAAGTCATCGAATGACTGCTCCCGCCTGGGTGAGGCGGGAGAGAGTGTCAGACTCTTACTGACTAAAAACCACCCCGTTCCTTCGATACGTCTAAGTAGTACTAAAACTGCCTCGTTGGCCGAGTGGTCGCAAGTGCGACTGCCGAGCAAGAGGTCTCCGGCTCGATTACCAGGTCGGGCAAAATATAAATGGGTTTAAAAAAAATCTCAATAAACTTACCCCCTATTACATGAGACTCATAACATAAATAGTGAAAAAGTGGGTGTTACACTGTATAGTGGTATAATGTGCACCTCTGCCTATCCCTTCTGGGATAAAAGGCGTGATGTGACGTCTTTGACGTGTAGTCCCCGGTTATGGTGTCTACTTGTAGTTGTGGCTCGGAGTTTAAGATGCCCACTTCTCATACATGAGGTTCGAAACCTACCAAAAGCAAGTACCAATGTGACATTTTCCGAGTTATATGTACTTTCTAAGATTATCTAGACACCACTGACAAACGGTGAAGGAAAACATAAGTTTGTAAGCCACCCGCATTGAGCGAGCGTTGTGATTAATGCTCAAACCTTCTCCGTGTGAGAAGAGGCCTTTGTGTCAGCAGTTGCCACTTATAGGCTGTTAATGTGTGATGTGTATAGTCCCTTACACGGGTATACGACACCCGCAGGAAGAGTGAAGAAGTTGTCAAGTGTTCTGCCATACACGGCTTATCTCAGTTATTTTTACATTGTCTCAATTAACCTTTTTGTCCTTTGTTCGAAACTGACATACATTCAAATCATATTAATAAAGTATTATGAACGCTGGCACTTGATGTCAAAATTGTATGTGTATACAACATATGTGTGCTATATATTATACTAGCTATTACCCACGGCTTTGCCTGCGTATTCCTGTTTTATCATGGAAACATTTAATCGAGATAAAAAGCATTCTATCACTTGCAGCTATTTCGTCATGACTGCTGAAGAACTGCAACCGGACCGCATGTCTAGTTTGCAGTGCAATAGGGTAGATGACTAATTTTTATTTCAATGTCCGTCTGGTAGATTATTTAGAAACATTAGACACGTATTTTTTATTTTCTTACAGAAACGAATAGTTTCGACGATATATTGATTTGAAATATCGCATGGCGTCACTTTTGAGTACGATTTATAGTCCAAACTGACGTAGCTACCTCCTAGAACCTAACGGGTAACCGGGGCTCCGGCTCGACGTGCAGGAGAAGGAACGGGGTGGTTTTTAGTCAGTAAGAGTCTGACACTCCCTCCCGCCTCACCGAGGCGGGAGCAGTCATACGATGATATTCCCCCCTTAAAAAAAATCTCCTAAATTTTGATTCCTTTTATCTATTGTGTTCTTATAGAGGTACAAAAAAAGAAACGGTTTATTAGATTTTTAATTTTCATACTCTGTTCTCATCCCTGTTTTTGGTCACATCGCGTGAGAGAGTTTAGGTTCAAGATATAAAATACTAGCAGCCCGTCCCGGCTTCGCACGGGGTAGACAATTATTTATTTTTGGAAATTTGGATTGTTGTAGTGACATAACTACAATAGTTGGACATATTCTACCGCGGAGTTTTTTATAGACATTATGATGTTCTTCAATATTGTTGTACATTATTTTGTTCTATCGCTAATAGTTTCGGCAGCGCATTCGACGAAAGACATTTTAAGACTCATTTTTCTACACCTTCGGTTACATTGTTCAAAATTTACCAAGGATCCCTAACTTTTTTCAAAATGAAATGTAACCTATGTCGAATTGGAAGAATGTAGCATTTTATTGGTGAAAGAATTTTTTAAATCGGCCCAGTAATTTTTGACCCTATTCATTACAAACATACAAATAGATGTCGTTAGGTACAATTTAGTTGATCTAACTATAATAACAAAAACAGACTTCACTTGAAATCACAGATACCGCGCAATCTACTTCATCTGCGATATCGTTTAAACTCATTTTGACAATATGATAACGATATCAGATACAATGTTGTTATTATAGACTAGACCAGGGATGATGAACCATTGGCAAGGAGACAATGTTTTGGGCTCATCACTGATTAACTAAATTAACTAAAATCGCGGGTTACTCACGTGAATATACTGAGAAAAGCTCTACTAGTTTCGAACCACAGAGGGGTTCTTCCTCATGAGCAGCTTGCGCGGTCGCGGCGACGTTGCCCAGCTCTTGTATGTCTCACAATAGTTATTATAAAAACTCGTCATTGATCACCAAATTTTTGCTGGCTATTTGGAAGATTAGAAAATTGATTTTAAGTAGAGAGAGAAAGAGGTAGAGGGCGCCCTAGACGGACATATATTGACCAGATTGGCGATACATTAAAGAAGGGCCAAATTAAAAGTACCCTTAACCGACAAGCATGCATGAAAATATTAATGACTGTTGAAGCGAAAGAGCTACGTAGGAATCGTAGTAATTGGCGTTCCATAGTTCCCTCTGCCTACCCCCATGGGAGACAGGCGTGAAGTTAAGTATGTATGTATAAATTTGTTAAAGGATCCGGGGATTGTTGATGAGGGAGAAAGGTTGGGTCTCCAGTAACCTCACTCAGCGAAACACAACGCAAGCGCGATTTCACGTCGGTTTTCAGAGACGCCGTCGGC